TCCTAGATCTTTTGAGATTCATTGAACTTTTCAATGGCATGTTTCAATCTCGAGTGTGCCCTTCAGGTTTTGTGACTGGGATGTCGAGGATCACAAAACAAGGTGTGAAGTAACCATCCAAATTACTTGGCACCCTTAAGTGTTTACCCCTCAATCGATGTGCCAGTTAACCACACACGCTCCATCGATACTATGATAAAAATTAAGTTACCCTTTGCCTACCTTGTTAAATACGAGTTAGTGTGCCGGTTAACCACACACGCTCCACTAACCGACTTAAACAAAGTGCAAAGTGTAATTTCATGGATTAGCACGATTGGGTATTTATAAAAGGTTTAGTTACTTAGTATTTATCATTAATACTTTTAATGAAGGGAGAATTATAGTCTTTATCCTACCCGTTCGGCTAACGACCCTCCACCGGTCAAGGAAGCGGTGGGTGAGAGTGGACTCCCATTAAACTGCCATTTTATAGGCAGTAACCTTATACCCCCCTTTATAGACCGGCTTCGTGAATGAGACCTACTAATGGTATGACTGACTTTACTCTTATACATATATATAAATATTATTAACTTATAATATTTTAAAGTATAAGGGTTGAATTTTAACTTTTAAAATTCTAAGGTCTAGTTTAGAATTAAAGTATATATGGGGGGTAGCTTTACAAATTCCAAAACTTGAGGACAAGTTTTGAAACCTTTCAAAACTCTTGGCTTTTTCATAACTTATGAGTTTAATTAAGGTTTAATGAAAAAAAAAAATTCAAGCTCCATAACTTGAGGACAAGTTATGGAAAACATTAAATCATTTAATGATGACATTAAAAATAGAGACTCTTCTATTTTAATAACCTATGAGACTTAATGACACTTTAAAAAGAAAAACTCTTCACTTTCCATAACTTGAGGACAATTTATGGAGTTCATAAAAAGCATTAAGATAAAATATTCCAATTAACACAATAATCAAATAATTTTTCTATGATCTAGATTAAACTCATAAGTAAAGATAATTTACATCAACAATTTTCAAGAAATTAGATAATCATATAAACTAATACAAATCTTGAAACTTTGACAATTATCCTTTGAAGACTCTTGGACTTCATAACCTAAAAAGTTAATAAATGAGACATTTCACACCCATAACTTATAGAAGTTTCAAAACTCTTAAGATCATAACTTTAAAAAAACTTTTGAGTTCCAAAATTTTATGACAAAATTTGTAACTCCTTAAAACCACTTAGATCAAACTTTTAAAACAAATAAAATAATCATATCATTCTATCTTTTAATAAATTGACCTAATTCAAGTCTTGTAGCAAAGTGACTCAACTTTTACAAATAATTAATTTTTCATAAAATCAAGTAATTATCATAAAATTTGACAAACTTCATGTTTTTTTCTTTTTGTTTCTCATCAACTTGAAAACAATACATTTGCATCAAATATAGTAGAAAACAACCCATGGCTCTGATACCACTGTTGGGTTTTGGTATAATACAACATCCTATGGTGCACATACAACCCTAAATACCTTGGATCTATGTTTTCACTAATTATACATGCAAATGGTTTCCAAGGCATTAAACCTATAACTAGCATGCATTTGACATAAACCATATGATATACTAGTTAGGGAAACAGACCTTTTATGTGGCTTGAAGTCCTGATGTATTTGGCCTTAAGAGCTTAGCACCAATAGTATGAAATGCCTCAAATGGAATCACAACACACCTAGGATAAAGGTGGATCTTGAGAGAGAATTCCATGCACCAAAACACCTCCATATTTCTCTAAGAAAAGAAGTGGTGATGTTGGCTATGGAGTAACCTATTTATATGTAGGATTCCAAGGGTCATGGGTATAACCCATAATCCATACCCATGGGTTTTATGATCCATGGTTCATGTGGCCCAACTCTTTATGTATCCATACATAAACTTGGTCCAACATGGATCATAAGCCCAACACATATAAATATAAATAATTATCATAATGAGTCCCCATAGATTTAATTAGTCTCTTTTGATCACTAAATTAATTCCAAATTAATTCTTGATCGATACTAATTAAAACATATGATTTCATATTAATATATTATAACTTATAATATATTAATAAACCATAAATAACCTTCTCTCAAAAGTCCATCCTAATAAATTGTCCTGATGATATGCAACCCAAATGGACCATGCTACTCTCGGGTCAAGTACATACTAATAATAGTTATGGGCTTAGACATCTAATCTAACATAATTTTCATTAATGTTGTCACTACCATACCATCACCTCAAAGATACAAACGCGTCTTCAACAAGATAGTGATCCCACCTTCTCTTCCTTCATGGATCGCAACGAGTGGAACCTTCAAGTTTTATCTTGGTGACTCTTATAACTCAAAGATTACAAAGATTTTATCCTATTAACTTGTTAGTTACAATGATTGTTCATGCTCATTTCTTGTTCTTGTTAAACATGAAGCTTGGAATCAATCTGCAATACCTTAATGATTAAAGGCATTCTCTCTCTTTGTCTACTATAAATTATGTTTTATATGGTTGATCTTGTTTTCTTTCTTTTATATTCAGAATTCAAGGGGTAGATATCTCAAAAAATAGAAGCTCATTTATGGCCATTCGATTCAAAATATTTGATGGATCAAGTCCTTACCATCTTTCTAATAAAGCTTCATATATTTTGCTTTTAGAATGTTTCCTCGTTTTACCGACTCTCTTGTTTGTATTCTTATATTATTTTATTTTGTACCATTTCTTTAAAAAATCTGGCGGTGGCAATTTTAAGCCAAGTATGTAACTTTTGACAAATAATCGTCTCTTGAAACAAGTTGTTTTATGCGACTAAATCTCTCCACGTCTATCATTAGCGCGACCATCTGCTGGGAGCATTGAGTCACCCCCCTCTCGCTGATTGTTTATCACTATCTAAACTTTCTAAGTGAGATTGTCTAGTCCAAATATAAAAAAAAATGATACAAAGGCTTGGGTATTTATTCTTAGTTAACTGTTCCACCTAACTCTAACCACCCTGGAAGCATTCTTGTCATATGCATCAAGTATCATGTTCTGGTGAAAAATTGAGCATAACCCAATGGCTTACCTTGACTACACAGTCATCATCATAATTGATATTTGTCTAGTCCTTAAATGAGAAAGGGTTGTTTGTGTCCCTAACCTTGTAGAGTGAGGTATGACAGGATACTTTTGTAAATTGATAGTGAGTCTTTGATTCTAGACTACAACTAAACATTGTAATGCAAGGATCAAAAACATTTCTTGTTAATGAGTTATAGTTGTTAATGATTCATGATAATTCTACCTCAGCATGAATGAAACAATCCATTATTTCCTTTATCCTATTAATAAAACATGACGATTCACTATGATATACCACGCACTGATAAAAGTTTGAAACTCTATGTCGATGGTTAGTCTATGTACCATAGGTTATCACACACACACCAACCCATTCTTACCATTATATTCTTCTTAAAAGCTTTATGATTCAACGTGCTCTACCATACGCTGATGAGAGCTTGAAAAATCTATGTCGATGGTTAAGCTAAAACACCACAACTTATCACACGCATCATACCACTCTTGCCCTTTTCTTCTAATAAAAGTGATTAATGAGTCAGCATATGAAACCATATGCTGATGAAATCTCAAAATAATATGTCAATGAATGGTAGTTTAAGCCCACGCTATCACGAGACATCAAAAACTTACTATCAAAAGCAACACGCTGATCAATTTCACTGATGTGTATTGTCATTGATGCTATGTATCATTGATTTATCATTCTTATCTCAGTGGTAAACTTTTGGATGATGAATAAAAGATCCATCAATATCTTAGGATACGAGATTTTTACGGCGAAGATTTCTTCAATCATGATTACATAAAAGGGAAGAAACTTTTTGGTACAAATTGGGAATACTTTTTAGTACAAATTGGGAAGGTGACTTGATTATTACTAAGAAGATGCAAAAATGGATTGACAAACCATATGTGGTAGAATCCTCTAACTCTGAAGAAGAGAATTATGAGGATGATAAAGACACTGGTAATAATGAAAGTGGTAATGAAGAGGCAGGCGCTAAGATTGAAGTGGATGAACCTATCACCAATGTTGAAGACTCTGCTCGGGATATGGACTCTCATCCAAGGATGAACAATCACATTCGATTCTCCTCAATTGTTCATCCAATCTATTTACATGTGATGTTGTAAAACGTGGATCAACCCATCATTTTATGGAAACTACCGAGCCAATGATTCATGATGCAAATTCTTTAAACCCAACATCTCTCCTCCTCAAGCTGAGAATACTCCACCTATGCTAACCCCTATCAAGACTGATGCTTTCATCATAATGATCAGGAAGAATCCAGCTCCAACTTTCAAACTCTTGTGCTTTTCAACTCTCTTCAATAGTGCAAGTAACTAAATCACTGGGAAATAGGTTGAGTAAAGTATAAAGGGATGTGGCTAACATTAAGTGATTTATGGCCCTGGTTGATGATGATGTCGATGATATGGTTGTTAATGACACCCCACCAAACTCTCCATGTGATAATCCTTTTTCATCTCCACCTCCACCTCCATCATCAAATCCCCACCACCTCTTCAACCATCTCATCCTCCTCCTTGCATTCCTTCACCACCTCCTGACTCTCCTTCCTAATTTGATGTTGCCAAAAAGGGGGATAACAATCAAGTAAGTTCTGATAAGCAAATGCAAATGGCTGTGATTACACCAACTCCATATCAGCCTGAAAATGCTTGAAGCTCAAAGAGTTAAAGCTGACCTCCAAAATAAACCCTTCACCATTATCAGTCTCTAGTTAATCATCTGTTTTTTGGAATGGGTTGATCATCAGGTGTTTCCTAATCGTCTAGAACAATGATAATCAAGGGAGTTATGATCAACAAATGAAAATAATGGTGATAGAACCAACTCCATTTTAGCCTGAAATGCCTGAAACTGGAAGAGATGAAGCTGACCTCCAAAATGAAATTGTTCCAGATGCTGATGAAATAACTGATGATCAATTATATACTGATGATTGTGAAGGGTTTCTTGATCTAGGTTTCATTGCACAAGTTGTTGTTCCCACTGTTCCTTTAAATGTTATTTACCCTGATTCTTACTTTGAGGGGGGAGATTTCTCATGGAACTAATAGTGACATTGAGTCTGATAATGATCAGCTCAATCCTCGAAAGAGGAAGGCTTCCTCCTTAAGGAGAGCTCATGATGCTGAAGTTGGAAGTTATGTTGTTGGTTATCCTTCTGCACCTCCTCCTTCCAAGAGGAGCAAGCTCATTTTTTATCTAAATGATTTGGCTAAAATCTAGGATACACATGTTGATGAAGTAAGAGAGATCATAATAGAGAATAGTGTTTCTATTTGACAAAAGAAAGAAGCTATAAAAGGTGAATGTATGTTTGCCAAACTTGCTTAAGATCTTTCTTCCACTGATAGAAGTGCTAATGTTAAAGCACGAATAATCAACCCAAGAAGATTTGACTCTTCAATAATAGTGTGGATAAATAGCGCAGGGTTTCAGATTTGAATGATTGGATTGACAAAAAGAAGTTTGGGGATGTTTTGAATCGAAGAACAAAGCTTGATCCCATTATCAAAGTGAGATGCACCAAACCAAGGAACAAGTCAACGGAACTTCACTTGATCAGGAAGAAAACCGAATATGAGCACATTGAGGTTCTATTTGCTTGTAAGCTAGTCAAATTTGGATACAGAAAGTGGATGAAAATTCAAGAAATTATTGACAAATACAAGGGTATTCATGCTCAGGAAGTGTAGTTGGCAATTCAGCAGCTGCTCAACAAAGTCAAGAAGTTGAACCTTATGCCACCAGTTGGTCCATCTAGACCATCCTCCTCAGGAAGAACAGGTGCACCCAGACAGTCTAAGAATACCAAGTTTATGCTTCCTTATGGAACTAGGTACATCAACAATGATCTACCATTGGATGTTGAACCAGTTCAATACATGTTCATTCGAGAACCAAAGCATGTCATTTTCTTTCTTGAGAGTCAAAATCACATGTGCTTTCAACGCACTGATGATCTTTCTTCTGCTCCCATTAAACATTTGTTTCATCTTTGCATTGAAGGACTTAACCACTTTGAACTAGAAAGAGGATATTGTGTGTTGATATCTATGGAGCTTAGTAGAAGACTGGATGAACTTGAAATTGATGAATTCAGATAGGTTAAGCCTGGGATCTTGAAAGAAGCTGACAAGTTCTACAATGGATCTTCTGATGAATCTAAAGAAGATTATTAGTTTTGACATCATCATATAGGGGTAGATTGTAAGGTCACACTTATGATCTAATCAGTTAAACACTCTACACACTATCTGCCAGCGTCAGCGTATACATCGCCGTCAACGCTAGCGTATCAAGTCCATCAGAGTCAGCACTTTGTATAGTTATTCTATGTAACCTTTTGTATATTAATAATGATATAGATAAGTATAGAATGTATAGCATATCCGATATCCTTGTGATAAGGATTGATTCTTAGTATAGATTAGATACAATCCCTTCTATCAGGGGATATACTTGTATAGATTAGTATATAATCTACATTAGAGTAAACCATAATGCAAAAAGTTCATCTTTGAGACCGTCTTTGTCACAAACCATCTTCTTAGTGAAGACAAACCCTTTCTTAGTGAATTAAAATTTAGATAACTCTCTGTGTTATTTACTTTCTATTCTTTGTTTACTTAGATTATTTATCTTTTGTTCTTTATAGTTGAAGTGTCTCCGATTGATACAAACCTTTAAGGAGGCTTGGAAGTTGATGTAGAATGATGAACTTAAGAGACACCAACACTAACATAACTTGATGTAGAATGCTAGTTCTTTTGTATAAAAATATTAAGACTCTTAAGGTTTATGTCCTTATGAAAATAAAAACATAAAGAAAGCATAAACATACAAGTAATATTCAAGACTTGAAAGGAAAAGAGACAGAACACATGCATACAAGCATGTTACGATTTTCATGAGGCAAGAGAGAGTGCCAAATGAAAGCCCCATAAAGTCATTCATAAAGCACTTCCAAGGACCATTAGTCCTTAACACTTTAAGAACATTATGTCTCATATACACTACTTGTCTTCCATACTCCTCAAAGCATGGTTTCTTTTCTTTTAAATAATTATAAGACCATACCCTTATTTTGAATAAACTAGTCAAAAGACCATCCCATCTTTTGTCTCTTAATTTTGAAAATATGAAGGCAAAAAAAGACAAAAAGCTTTTATATTTTTATAAAATAAAAACTTTAACTTTTTGGTAAACGACAAAAAAATTATCTAGTCCAAAATGTTGTGCATGAATTATTAATTCATGGATATGAATTATGTAATTTTACTTGCTAATGAAAATTATTATTTCCAAGAAATAAATAATTTCCAATTTAATTATAAGAGTTTATTGAATATTTATCAAAATTAATTTCTAATAAATAATCAATTATATCAAGTTGTTGTTAGTATGACCCATTAGCAACATTTCATTGTCCCCATTAACATATGACTTTGTGCCATTTTATTAACACCTAATTCCCAAAAATCTCCAAGATATAATTGGTATATATAAAGTAAGTTTATCAGTTATCGCTTTCCCGCTGACATCATGTTAAATATGATATACATATCACAATCAATCTCATTTGGTGTTCAAATTTGTTAAGGCGCCTTAGATGTCTAACTCTCAGCACATAATAGGAACAAATCTCATCTTGACTACATAAGCCTCATGCATAGTTCATATTATACCTGAAAATAGCTTTTATAACTACCCGGTTAAGGACCAATGTTTGACCATATCTAAGCATAGTACTCCCTACACTAAAGCCTCACTATGTATATCAGGTGTTAAGGATACAAAGATAGTACCTTTTAATCAATTATCATTCATGATAGCGATCCATGAGATAATCTTGATGCGGGTCAATTCAATACTAGTTCTTTGACAAGTACCTATGAAACTTGGTTACAACCCAATGCCTACCTTCATATAGTGAAAGTCAACCACTCCAATTTATATTAGTCTTATTTCATAAATTCTCCCACAATTATAACCAACTATGAACCTTTAGAATAATAAGATTATTCATGGATTAAACATGTTAATATAGAACATAACAAGTATTAATGTTATGATCATATCATAGTATATCAAAACACTATATAATAGTTGTTACAATGTTCCAATATCCAAATCTAAAAGCAAATCAAAATTCGATTTCTAGAATAATAAAGTCTTATAGCTAAAGTGTGACCAGTCATGCTGTAACACTCAATATTTAAGACAAATTTAAATTTTTAAAAACACATCAAATTCATCAAAACATTACAACTTTGTTTTCAAAATACATTTATATCAGAGTTTTCCCAGAAACATAACACAATAGGAGGAGTTGTACGATCAAGCCTTAGCTTTGCCGCGATCCCCTGAGGTACCTGAAACAATAAACTGAAACTGTAAGCCCGATAGCTTAGTGAGTTACCCCCAAAATACCGATACACATACAGTTCACATAGCAATATCAACATTAGAATATCATATCAATCAAAACAGATCGGCGTGCACTGGGTCCACAACTTTAGAAGATGGACTACCCCTGGGCCCTCAGTACGAGTCTGGAATGCCTACCAGGCCCTTTATCTCGTATCTTGAATGCCATCGAGCCCTCAGTACGAGTCTGGAATGACTACCGGGCCCTCAGCTCGTATCTTTGAATGCTCTCGGGTTTGTTGGCCACCGCACGGAGCAGTACAACCTCAACCCACCCCACATAACATGTCGACATGTGACAGATAAATACACACACAGGTAATCAATCAGTATCACAGGCAATCCTACAGATCTACCCGACTAGTACATCAACTAGCATGCATTACTAACTCAAACTCTACATAACAATAACTACTAGGATATCAAATCCAATGGGCCGGCCTTGGTGCCTTAAACCCCTTAGTATAGTGAGGATAACTCATCTTGCAACTGTCGTCGGAAATAAAAAAGCTCAACTCCCGGGTCCAACACGAACTTCACCACCTAAAAGTACCACACGACCTTTTTCATAAATCTCCCAATCCCAGAAACCCACAGAATTCAATTGGTCAACCCCTTGGTCCAAGTTAAAGTCCACAGTTAGAGTCAGACAGTCCATGTTGAGTCGACTCGCCGAGTGCAGGTCTCCGACTCGCCGAGTTCTTCCTGAGTTCGAGAAGTCGTGGAATCCTCGACTTGTTCGCCGAGGTCTCCTTTTCACTCATCGAGTTCATATACGGCCAAGATTTTGGGAGAAACCCTAGCCAACTCGCCGAGTTTTCTAACACTTGCCGAGTTCAAGGCAATCTTCAACGAACTCGCTGAGTTGTTCATCCAACTCGCCGAGTTTATGGCCATCTTCAACGTACTCATTGAGTCCCTTAATCAACTCATCGAGTCCATGCAGATCTTAATCCATGCAGATGCTCTTTAAGCCATGCAAGGCCCCAAATTACAGATCCAAGCTCCTAAGGCACGTTTATTACGTAAAGTTGCAATCTTTACGTACATGCAAGGCTCTAAAGGCCCGAAATGATCAATCTAAGCTCTTTAATGGAGTTTTACACCTTGGGAGAGTTTCAACCTTGCACAATCTAGGAACTTTATGGATCTAGAGGTCAAGGGAAGTCCAGATCTAAAGTTATAACTTCAGATCTTAGCTTAAACATGGAGAGTCCTTCATAACACCCATCCAAGGGAGGTTCAAAGTGAAAAGAGCTTAAGGGAATAGCCTATTACCTTCCAGAGAGTGATGTCTGATGCAATCCCTTAGCTTTCCCGAGTTCCTGGCCTTGCTTTTCCTTTCTTCTTCAAATGCTTCCTTCCAAAGTTACTCCTTCAAGCTTGGACACCAAAGAACACACACACACACACACGTTTTAGGGTTTGAGAGGGATAAGAGGCATAAGGGGAGGCTGGTGGAGGCCAATGTTCCTTTAAATATGATGTAAAACCCCGGAATTTAGGGTTTCATCTGCCAGCTCCTACTCGCCGAGTCCCTTGGTGGACTCGCCGAGTAGGTCACTAAACACACGTTCCATTCCCACTGCTACTCGGCGAGTAGGGCAACCAACTCGCCGAGTAGGACATAAGACAAATTATTCTTTAATTAAATTTATACCTGGAATACCCCACCAAAAGGGCGCTGCCCCCGGACCCCAAAAATTCGATCTTATACATATGTGCACTCCGCACAACCCCGTACAAATTATGAAACCCTCTTAGCTCACATGTTAGTTCTAGTTATTTAAAATGATATGGTGACATTAAAATCACCAACAAAAAATGGACTAAAAAAAATCTTGATTCATATTAAATATTTCTCCAAATAAATTAACATATGTCACAAAAAAATTTATAGTTTATCTGTAATACAATTGTTTCATATTTGGAATCGGCCATGAGTAATATCCATTTAACATCAAGTTGGATTAGTATCAGAGAAAATTAGAATGGAATGGAAAATATATATGGTTTTGAAATGTAAGTAAAATATATTTATGTTGGTAAATAGAATAAAATAAAAGAATAATATCAAAAAATAAATGTTGGAGAGAGAGAGAGAGAGAGAGGGAGGGAGAGAGAGAGAGAGAGAGAGAGAGAGACCATAATAGAAATAAAAATAAAATTATAAAATATAGATAAGATCATCATTTTCTCTATGGTTATGTAATTAAACCGAAGGACTATGCACTAACACAAGAAAATATTATTATGAAAACTGTACATGTTCAAATTTTAAAACTAGGACTGAAACAATAACTTATCCCAGCCACAAGGGACCATCTTGTAATTTACTCATCTTTTCATTAAATATCAACAATTTAGATGGCCTTATTTTAATCCGTTTGGTGCTACTTTCTTGATAAGGGTTTTAAGTCATTTCTTTATATGAAGGTTGCTTATGTCATTTTTATTGATAGTATAAAAATATTTCTATCACAAACTTTTGTAAAATTTGGTTCTTTTACCTGACTTCATACTTAAATATATCTTATCAATACTTGAATATATCTTATCCATCTTGAGTTAAGCGTATGTCATGTTTTCGGAAAAATAAATCAATTTTATATATAATAAAAATCCCTCATACTCGTACATGACTTGTCCCTTCACAAAAATTCAAAAAGTGTTTTTTCGAAGAAAAATCGATAGATATATTATTAGATGACCTATAATTTAAGTAATTGCGAATCATTATGTCTATACTTTAAAAAGTATCATTTTGAACAGCAAGATTATATCTAGAAACTAAAAAAAAAAAACTAACAAAAAACTATTTCAAACTAGACAAGCTAAATAAACGTTTTGTAACCAACAAATTCAATGAAAATTAGATTTCTTATGTCTAGGGATGACAAAAAGCCTCGAACCCGATGGAAACACGAAACCCACATCAGTTTTGACTGAGGAATTACCAAATTGATCGGGGATGAGAATGGAGATGGAGAATCCCAGAATAAAAAAGTGGAGATGACGATACCTCTAATCCTTGACCTTAGACCCACTCCTGATATATATTAATATACAAAAATAATACATAACATATAGTTATAGAACAATTTAAAATACATAAAATCTAATCCATGTAACCTAACTCATTAGTAATTATTTTTTTGAAATTATACTTTTTTTTATCTAATTTTAACTCTAACATAATTTTTTTTTCCTATTTGGTTTATCTAACTAATCTCAAATATCTCTCTGATAATTTTTTTATATTTGATTTTTTATGTATTTAATTAAATTTAATAGAAAATTTGTTTATATTTTTTATGCAATCTATGAATATTTTTATATTTTATAAAATTTTTAAACTTACGCGATAAAAATAAAATTTAGAGTTTTCCTTTACGTAAAAAATTTCATATTAAATAAGGAAAAAATCCCCGATTCTTTGTTGGGGATCCTCAGTCCCCATTGGACGTGTGGGTGGAGCTTTATTTATATTCCCCAATGGAGATGAGGATGAGGATGAAGATTGAAATGAGAATTCGGGGATGGGGATGGGGATAGGGATTGGGGTCCACTATATTCCTCACCCCCGTTGCTACCTCTATCTACACCTACCTGAAATAAATAAAAACAACTTATCAACAATCTCATCAAATATTTTGGATTAGGAACACATGTGCTCAAAACACTAGAATTTCTAAAATTCCAAATGACCCAAAAAGTTGTGATAACAACATCAAACGCTTTTCGCTAACTCCTAATCAACTGAACTTAATTTGCCCAAAAATAATAGAATGCAAAGTAACACGAATAACTATCTGAACTCCCAAGCAAATGGTGCTATGATGCCATACAACAATAAACTTTGGACAACCTATGAAAATATGATTAATAGTCTCTACCAAAAGTGAACACACCGAGCATAAACTTGAAGCGAGAAAAATACCCCTAGTTGAGAGTTGCTCCCTCATATGAATACTCAGCATTGTAGTTGTTATGATTCGAGAATGTGAAAAGGAATCAAAGTATGAAATAATTATGGAACACAAAAGTAAATATAATTTGGTTAACTCGATTAAAACTTCTGTGAGATACAAGAGAAAGTTTAGAGTAAGAACAACAATGCTCTAAATTTACTCTAACTCTAGCACTTATCCCTATTTATAGGAATGACAGAAGTTTACAAAAAATACACATGGGCTAAACAATAACGCTTCAACATAACAAAATGCCTTTATGCAATACATACATCACTGACTTCGACACTAACAAATAACTAAGGACACTTCGACACCTCACAACTAATTTTGACCTCTACATTCTCCCCCTTTGTGGGCGTGTCGAATCCTAAGTCATTAGCATCTTGGTCGCTTGATGAAGAACTCTTCTAACTTCCATATACCAAATAGTTAACCTATGAACCTCAACTTTATCACCTTTAGAATTCTTCTTGCAATTATTGATACGAACAAGCAAATTCGTATACTGAGAATTTGTGTATCTTTCCACATATTCAACTCTAAATATGTATTTGGTATTCTTGTTCTCTTTATTCTTCCCAACAAAAACAATTCCTAAGGGTTTAAGACAAATTTCACTATCATCAAAATTCATCAAATTTCCAACACCCTTCAATAAAGACTTTGGAATAGTGATTTGTTTTCCCATAGCTAAAGCCAACTCCACATCTGTTAAAACAAGACACTCATAATAATTGTCAATGAAGATCTTGATATGTGCATACCCAAGTAGGATATCGTCTTTGCTTGACACATGGAGTTTCGAAGCATCCACCTCACTAGAATTTTTTCCATACAGGTGAGATCATTAAGATTCATCAATGGGAAATCAAAAATAAAGAAATCATTGGCCACATTATTTGCACGAACTACGTGATAACGAAAGTTTTGCATTATCCCTTCAAATAATTGATCCTTGGTAATACCCAACACTTTGACTATCTTCACTAACAACCAAATATCTTCTTCTTTCTTTCTAAGGACAGCATGAAACCTCATTTTCAACATTTTTGTACTCTTCTTTGTCTTCGAATTTGTCTATCAATTGATACTGAGGTGATACGAAAGTCATATGGTTGATAGGAAAATCTAGTTGATTGAAGTTTGAATTTTCTGTCTCATAACTTTTCTTTGGGACCTTGAGAAAAACATGCATGTTGCCAAGAGAAACAAATTGTTCGATAGTTTCATAGCAATAGGGCTTCATTGGATCTCCCTTCTCAAGAGCAGGTGGGTCTCCTTTCCTTAGTCTTAAAATACTTTGAATCTGCCTTTGTCGTCCAATCTCCTTTTCCAATGCAACCTTCTTATCTTCTTTAGTTGGATCCGTGTGAATTCCCTTTCATTTCTTTAGTTCATAGAGGTGGTTTCGAATTTGATCCACCAATAGATGAACCAATAACAACTCATTTCGTTATAGGCTTCTAAGTCATGGTTGTTGAAGAAGTTGTCATTGATGTTGGAAGCGAAGTAGGAATCTTTATGCTTATAACCTTCCCGAAAACTTTTCCTTTAGTAGAATCTTTCAAAGAACTAGTATCAAAACATTTCGAAACACCTGTGCCAACACCCTTCTCTCCCCATTGCATCCGTGTACGAACAAAAGGGGCATTAGTTGGCATCAAATGAATAAGTTTCATAAGTGGAGCTAACTCAGATTTGAGATTGGACTCGAGGGACGAAAAATTCTGAGAAAAGAAATCTAGAAAAACCGAAGGTTGTGGAGAATAACCAAGCTTCAAAATTAACTCTTTCAAACTGCTCAACAACTCTTTCAATTTGGAAAAGTTTGGAGAATCAGACGACGACTTTGCTTTAACCTTTGTTAGAAGAGAATTTTGAAGTCCAACCACTTTCGTAACAGCATCAACAACAATATCAACTTTCATATTAAGATTTGAATGATTGTAATCAAGATTAACAACCTCCTTCGCCATTTCAGAACGAATTTCTCTAGTCTTCAAATTGACATCCTCCTGTAGTCGTGTCGCTGCCTCAACAAAAATAATATGTTTTTCTTTTGCAATGGTTCGCAAATCCTTTACCTCATGAACAAACGAATCAGATTGCTGCTTCAAACGTTTCTCAGTCTTTGAATATATATGTTTCATCAAAGCTTTCAGACGGAGTTCTTGGGCTTTGAGCATAACATCGACTTCAATCCCAGTTACACTATGACGATTTCCAGCATCTGCTTGAAGTTGTAACAAAGAATTGAGCTTTTTGTTGAGAATCTTGAACTGCTTCCCATACATAAGCATGTGATCGGGAATGTTCTCCTCCTCCGGATCAAATTGTATATCAACAAAAGAACCATAATATCATCTTATTCAGTGTTATCATCAGGAACAGATTTTGGTCCTTCAGTGGATTGAGAAGGACATAGAGAAGTAATAGGCTGATCCATGATATTCGAGAAAGTGGGTGATATGTTAGAAGCAGGTAAAGATGTGAGAATAGGTGAAACAAATGGTGGTAGCTAAGTAGAAGTATCAATACCACTGGTTTCGAATGTAGATGAAATAATAATGGAAACAGGAATGGTAGTAGTAGAGACATTCAAAATACCTTGGGCTTCAGAAGTCGACACCCTCATCAACCATGTTGACATTTGTGTCCATATTAGATATATCCACAGGGATGCCTGAAGTTCGAACCTCCTCTATATTGCACTTTGCAATCGAAACTTCGGGTGGTATGACCGAAGTCTGCTCAGGGATGGATAAAGAGAATGATCACCCAGATTAGGGGTTGTATCTACATTAGATGTTTCCACATTGCCACCAGGACTTCCTGTCACCTCGACATGAGACTTAATAGGAGAGCCCCTCTTAGATGAATCAAAGCCCATATCATAATAACGAAGTGGATACTGAGACTTACCACTATCTTTAAACTTTGTCTCGGCAACAACCTCATCCAAATTATCTTCCGCTTGCTTTTGCTTCTTTTTTATTTTCTTCACAATATCATGATCTCTTCGTTTCTTGGAATCTAGAGAACATGAGCAGGAATTTGCCGAATTAGCACCCCCTTTATATTGATTTGGGATTTTTAAATTTTCTTTATCTTTGATGCAAAAGTCTCTTTGGGAGAAGAAAGAGACTGCTCTGGAACAGTTTCTATAATAGGCTGTCTTTCAGGAGAATGACAAGGCCTATGTGCCATTTTCTTCAACTTCTTGAGAACACCAGAGTTCGAAGGCACTACTTCCTTTACAGGTTCTTAAGGACCAAGAACTTGAACAAGCTTTATAACCTTCTTCTGAGTAGGAATAAGATCAGGCTTCGATGGACTCGCCTTTGTAACCTTCTTTGAATTCTCGCCACATTTTGAAGTACCAGTTATTCCCTTTGGAAAGAGAGCACCTGTTTTGATAGAAGGATTGATGGTTTGAAGATAAGACACTAGAATTGGATGTGATGGATCAACTTTACGAAGCATAGCATCAGGAATCCTTGCTACATTGGGAAACACCTCTGAATCATCTTCCACCGTCTTGGGATGTTGATACAAGACAAATTCTGCTTTAGGAACATCATTTGGAACCATGCTCCCCTCTTTTTCGTATACACATCTCAGGATCAAACTCCAATATTTAGTACAAGATACAGCATTCACAACACTGGTGTGAGCAATATTGTTTCCAAACTCCTGCCACAATTAAGTTGCATAATTCACTTATAGATCATAGTACAACCAAAAAACCATCGCATAGACTTCAAGCTTTGCTTTATCCAACCCAAAACTTCGACCTATTAAGCATCAAAGAAAAATACCAAAGAGAGAATTCCAGATGCATGGTAAGGATGATTTCTTGAAATCACTGATCTTGGTAAGTAGAGGTTGATAACCCATCTCGTTGAACATATGAACAATTTGTTCATTTGTAACTTCATAGAAAGGTTCAATATTGGGAATGTTCAAGATTTGGGAAAATTGCTTCTTCGAAAGTTTGTACTTATTTTCATTGGTAAGTTGGAAAGTAACCACCTTGGTTGTCTTGTTAAACACAACAGTTGACCTGGCAAGTGATAACCAGGTTATCGAAACAGAAAAGGAAGACGACATCACTGTAGAAAGTAGCGAGTGATTCAATGCAACAATCAACATCTTCAACTCTTTAGGATACTTGCTAACATCAGATTGAACCCTGTAGTTGGTACTCTGAATCTTAAACAGAGGTTGAGATGTGGCAATTCATATTAGTAGGCGCCATTGTTAAGGTTGAAGGTTTGAGGAAACAAGGACGTATAAGGAAAGAGAATTGGGGAAAATATTGAGTCTGATCGCGTAAAGGTTGAATGTGATGACCCCAAAAACCTATTATACATAAACCCTAATTTTTAATTTAAAGCGGTTAGTCAGTAAAATCATGCCACATGTTTCCTTTAAAATCAGGCTAGTTACCGCATCATACGCTACACCTGAAAACTGATGTGCATTTTTCTTGAAAATCGTGTAGCAACCAGACCGTCACATCAAACTGGCGTTTCACTTTCCCCAAGGAAATAAGAACTATTAATAAACCTTCGACATGGAGGGTGGGCTCCTTCACTTTTGGGTTTAGAAGCGAAGTTATTAACCAGACTTGTCGAAATCATCAACGTGAGTTGGTATTACTCAAAACCTTAAGGATTTTAGTGCATGCAAAAGTGTGTGCCAAAGAATTAGATAAGAACGAACTAAAAAAATTGGTTATGTGATGTCAATGAAATTATCGACAAAAAAGCAGTAAGATCCCGAGAAAATATTGATTCGTTCTACATCAAGAGAGATGTCGAACAAATTGTGTGGTTTCCTATGAATTACAATCAAATACTCAAAGAGGAGTATCGAAGGGCTTCTTTTAATAAGGCTACTAAGGTTGGCTCAAATTTTGTTCAAGATCACAACTTAAAATAAGTGTGAATACAATGAGCAAAATTACTTGTGTGGCCAGTGTAGTCAGTGACAAGTTAAAATTTGAGAAAATTGTAAGTGACAAAGAAACTAATTGATATTCAGACATAAACCATATTCCATGAAAAATAAAAAGCTGGATCTTATTGGGTAAAAATATCTTGGATGAAGAACATTTTATCAAGACCACTCATAATGAAGGAATACGATTTTAAAAACAAAAAATATTTTTGGATTTTTGTTTGTGAAAACAAACAAAAAAATCTTTTTGATATTTTTGTTTTTGGAAATGAAACAACAAAAAAATAAGAAAATCTTTTTGGTATTTTTGTTTTTGGAAATGAAACAACAAAAATAAGAAAATATTTTTGGTAATTTTTGTTTTTTTAAAATGAAAATACAATGAAAAATAAGAAAATTGTACCAGACCAATGAAACAACAATTCTTGACATTGACAAAATGAGTCATCGATACTATAAGTGTGCTTGAGAAACAAAGTATATTCTGAATCAGTCAGCGAAAAGTCGAAATTGAACCTTGTCGAACATTGAATTACGAACAGTAATTCTTATTCATTCAGCGAAATGTCAATTTCTCTTTATGTTGCTTTATGATGACAAATTGGGAACTACACTCGCATTAAGCATGCCTAGCCCTGAAAAATTCTTAGAAAATATTTTTCATCCAAAGGTTTAGTAAATATATCATCAAGTTGATCTGTCATTTTTACAAAGTGAACCTCTATGTTCCCATCCTCGACATGAACTTTGATAAATTGATAATGAAGTGCGATGTGTTTGGTCTTCGAAAATTCCACTGGATTGTGACAAATTCAAATAGCATTATGTGAATCGCAGTACGGAGTTATCTTCTTTTTGTTGATAGCATAGTCATGAAGCTGAATTTGAATCCAAATGATCTGAGAAGTGCGAGCTACAACAACATATTGTGCTTATGCTGTGGGAATCAAAACACAAGTTGGTTTCTTCGATTTCCAGTTCTCAAGCTTCCAATCGAGTAGTTGACATCCGCCAGTAGTGCTTTTTCTAATCAAATTTCCTTCTTTATCCGTTTTATTTTTAAAGATCCATTTTGAACCAATTACGGACACATCATTTGGTTTTGGAACAAGGCGCCAAACTTTGTTTCGCTCAAACTAAGCTAATTCGCATTGCATTGCAACAATTCAATCAGGATCATTTAATGCAACGTTAACTGTTTTCGGTTCTATTTTGGAAATAAAAACATTGAACAAATAAAATTCTTGATGAACATTAAGTACCTCATTTTTAGCATGAAGTTGAGCCATCGTTATAACACTAGCATGTGGATCACCAAGAAATCTATTCTTTTGCTAAAGGTGCATCTTTGAACATATCATGCGGTTCTAAACCTTCACCTTCATTAGAAAATTATCATTCATATCATGAAAAACGTTAGTTTGTATGTTTAAATCATTTGTCATACTCCCACTTTGCTCTCCCTCGATAATAGGAGTGGAAATATGACCTTCCCCCTCGACACTAATACTTGATTGTCCATGCTCCCCCTCAACATTAGTAGTCTAAGTTAAGTGCTCCCCCTCCACTTGATCACTTCTGCAATCGATAAATAAAATGCTACATTGTTTGCTCGGACTGCATGGAAGCGATAAATTTGCAACACACTCTCAAAAAAAATGTCTTTGGAAATGTTGAGAACTCGAACTATCTTAACTAAAGACCGAATCTCCACCTCCCTTTTTCCAAGAACTGTGTGAAATAAAATATTCAACCATTTAAATTCTTCTTTGTCTTCATACTTATCAATGATTTGATATTGTACAACCATGAACATCATTTTGTTAATTTGAAAATCCAACTGACTGAAATCAGTATTCTCAGTTGCAAAGCTTTTCTCGGGAAGTTTTTCAAAATCATGCATCTCTTCGGTTATCACGAGAGCTTCGATATTTTCGTAACAATAATGTTTCGAAGGACACCCTTA